CTCTTCTAAACTCCCAGTGATCAAAGTTTGCAGCACATCAGTCAATTTTGTCTTATTATCAACCTATAAATATCCCTTTAATGGGCATAAAATAGCGTGGCTTCAGAATTGCTTGCCCGAATCCTCCTGTTCTCTCTCACGAGCATCCACTTCATCAACCATGCACCAGCGGCGCAGGCCACGCAGAACGCCGCACTACTGGCCATAGGAATCACATATCTTGGGGCGTCTGACGTGGGCCACAAGTACTGGCGACATAGTTAGAAAATCATTTTTCTGGACATCACAAGGGGAACAGGGGAAGCAGCTTACAGGTGTCCAGATGAAGCTAATACTGGCGCTGGTATTGACAATCGCCAGCGCCGAGGCCTTCTTCTCTCTCGTCTGTCCGCACGTACTTCCAACCCAGCCGAGCAGGCTTTCCCAACAATGTCAGCTTCACTGTAATTGCTACCATGTCTCCAGTGATCGGGGACGGTTCTTCTACTCACATTGAGTTCACACCATACGTGCCAATAGTAAACACAGTCATGGCAAAGTACCTGGCGCCAGTATTCATCGTCACACAAGCCAAGATGAACCCGAAAGCAGCAACGGCTTTGGAAATGGTAATATGCCACGTCCGCTCGTTGAAACGTCCGGAGCTCCACGCCCAGACAATGGAAAGTATACCGGCGATGAGGTATGGTGGGCACGTCAGGACCAGTGTAATCGTCGTGTTGAAGTTGAGCGTTTGCACAATCGCTACATACGAGTTAGCTGGTGATAATCAAAAACAAAAAAAATCTTTGGGATGAAAACTTACTGGGAAAGAAGTTCTTGAACCCATTCGTTGCAAGATGGCAATGCTGCATCCAGATAAACACCCACACCTTCGGATCGACAATCGCCTCGCGCAGACCACCCCATGTACTACTCTGCATCTTGGCTCCAACAGTATCCCTCTCAATTCTATCGTGCGCAAGCTGTCGTTCCTCAGGCGTAAGCCACCTCGTCGTAAGAGGTTCATCAGGAAGCGTATAACAAGCCATCATAGCAATCACAAACGTCACCGCGCCCTGCAAAATAAACAACCACCGCCACCCCTCAAGACCATGCAGTCCCTCCATCCCGTGGAACACACCTGCAGCAATCAACCCCGCAAACGCAGTCGCCAGAATATTCCCAGAATACAACACACTAATCCTTGTCGCAAGTTCCTTCCTGGTATAAAAGATGGACAGGATGTACAGCGCGCCGGGGTAATACGGCGCCTCGACGACGCCCAGAAAGAAACGCGTGAGGACGAGACCTTTGTAGTCCTTTACCACGGCCGTGAGGGCGGAGACCACGGCCCAGGCCATCATGAAGCCGCCCATGTACCAGGAGGGCCTCACGCGGGTGAGGATCATGTTGCTCGGGATCTGGCCGAGGATGTAGCCGACGAAGAGGATGGAGACGCTGGTGGAGTACTCGACGGAGCTGAGGCCGAGTTGTTTTTCGAGGCCGTTTAGGCGGGCTAGGGCTATTGCGTTGCGGTCGAGGTAGCTGAGTGGTGTTAGTTTGTTGGTCCTCAGAGTTGGGTTTGAAGGTTGGTGGAGGGGACTTACTTGAGCCAGTACATCAACCAAAGAGTAGGCTTCGTAGTTTAGAGTTAGATCAAGTTCAGACAAGCAGCTTGAGTCTTGGAAAGTCATACCATCACCCAGAGATCCAACTTCCTCACAAGCTTGATCTCCGTGGGATCAGTCTTGGCCGCAGCTCCAGAGTAGTCGACTGCCACTGTAGGCCTCTTCTCATCATCCAAGACACGAGAATGCTCTCGGTGAAGAACCTGCTGCTTCTCAACATCGGTTGGCGATTGCACTGGAAGGCCCTTGGCCACTGTCTCCGTCTGCGTCGCCATCTTCATAATGGTGTTGTCGTTGTTGCTATTTCCTCAACGTGAATGAGAGAGGAGTTACGAGCGACAATGACAGGCAAGTTGAAGAATTGAAGCAATGGATTGGGGGCCACATCCAGAAACCTGGTCAAGGGTAATCAAGACCGTATATGTACGACAATCTCAACGAGACCCCAATCGCCCCCTCGGATTCCCTTTCCCCGCAACAACCCCGGATTTGGCATCCTTGGCTCCGCGATATCTGGTGGGGGCGCCGTAACGTGGTGGCAGGGTGGTAATCCATAGCCTTGGAGCCAAAGTGACGGCGTTCCACAATGGTGCAGGTCGACCGCCGCGCAAGCGTAAAGCGGCAAAAAGCATACGTCGGTCAGCGGCGCCGAAAGCCGACAAGGAATGTGTGAATTATGGGCAGCGGTCACATCCCCGCGCGGACTCTTGCACGCCAAGAAGGATTCATGGTCTCTCATTGCCCAGCCGCCGTCTCTCTCCAACTCCAGGTTTCCGCCTTGGCGTTTCTCTTGATGAGTTCCCCGCTGAAGCGTGGTATTGGGGATTGCTAGGTGGGCCAGAAATGGCTCTCTCCCTCTTCTTACTCGTTCCTCTAGAGGCTGGACCAATCAGACAATACGATGTTTAGACGTTCTCATGTGCCGTGTTGGTACTTGGTAAACTTGTTGAGATGCTGTGAGAAAAGAGTTGTGTGGAGTTTTCGGCCTCGGCGACCGCGCCGGTGCTTCGGTCTGTGGTGCCGCTCGCGCGTGGGCGTACACCACCAGGATCAACTAGGAGAGTCAAGTGAGGATCATGGCTTTCTTGCTGAGTAGCTCGATCCATGTCACTTTGATTGGGTCCGGTGTAATCTCGATGGATCTGTAATATGATGCAGAGGGATGACATCCGTTCGGGGTCTTGGCTCGGTGCTGAGTCCGCAATCGGCGGTTCCTATCATCTTTTGCATCCAGAATATGGATCGCGGTCATAGTTTGGTATTCTGAAGATATCTATCGGCACATGTAAATCAGATGTCCTAGGAAGTCTTGACTAAAAAGAACGCGGACCGTGTTGAAGTCGACTATTCTTCTTTCCTTTGATATCTTCTGCCTCTGTTCCTCGCTTTGCTTCAACTGTCTCTTGCCCTGCCCCCCATTCTTCAACATCTACAAAACTAACCATGATCGATAAACCACCCATCAGAATCGGAAACGTCTCCGGCGCAACAGGCGACCACCCCCACGCCATGGCGCGCATGCTCCGCTCCGGCAACGTCCAAGTCATCACGGGCGACTGGCTCTCCGAGATGAACATCGCCTGGAACGCAATCACCAAGCGCGACGTCGACCCCAACCTCGGCTACGAGAACGGCTTCTACGAGCAGCTCGAAGAATGTATCGACGACATCATGACCAAGGACGTGCGCGTCGTGACGAACGCGGGAGCGCTCAATACCGTTGCGTTGTTTGACAAGGTTAAAGAGTTGTGCAGGAGGAAGGGGTATCCTGAAAGTGTGGTTGCTGCAGTTTTGGGAGATGATGTCTCTGGATTACTTCAAGATACTTCAAAGAGGGGGGATTTGACGTTCCCGCACTTGGATCACCCGGAGACCACCCTCGATGACTGGGGTTTTGAGCCTTGCTGTGGCAACGCGTACATCGGGTGCTGGGGAATCGTGGAGGCTCTCAGAGCAGGCGCGCGCATCGTAGTCTGCGGACGATGTACTGACGCTTCGCCAGTGATGGGCGCCGCGGCGTGGTACTACGGCTGGAGACAAGATCAGCACCAAGAGTTGGCCGGCGCGCTGCTCGCGGCGCACCTGATCGAGTGTGGGCCGTACGTCGTGGGCGCCAACTTCTCCGGCTTCAAGGACTTCCTCCCAGAACTGATCGATCTCGCGTTCCCTGTGGCTGAGATTTCTCGTGACGGAGAGTGTATCATCGGTAAGACTACCGAGGGCGGCGGCCATGTTACGCGGCATACTGTCACAGCACAGCTGTTGTATGAGCTGCAGGGCCACCTCTATCTCAACCCAGACGTGGTGGCCGACTTATCAAATGTCCGCGTTGAAGAGCAGAAAGATGCCGAGGAAGATCGCGTTAGAGTGTGGGGTGCCAAAGGGCTTCCGCCGCCACCGACGACGAAGGTCATGTTCGCTGCTGAAGGCGGATACCAGGCGGAGGCAACCTTCTACATCAACGGACTTGATGTAGACGAAAAGGTGACCATGATGAAGAATCAGCTGGGGTATCTGTTCAAGGATAGCAACTTCAGCAGGCTGAGCATCGAGCAGTACGGAACACAGGCCCAGAATCCCAGCTCTCAGCAGGCGGGCACCGTGCAGCTTCGTGTCTTTGCGCAGGCGCGAAGGAAGGAGGATATTGCAGCCGTCAACTTCAAGATTCCCATCTATGCTGTGAGAATGCAGAGTTACCCCGGCTACCACATGTCGCTAGATTTCCGAACGATGGACCCGAAGCCATTCATGGAGATGTTCCCAGCGCTGATACCGCAGTCAGCTATCGACCATCAAGTGCTTCTGGGCTCAGGAAAGCTGGTCCCCGTTGCCCCGCCTCAGAATACGGCGGTTTATAAGATTGAGAGGCCATCCGCAGACACGGCAGATCCAATCGACATCGTCTCCCTAGGCCCGACAGAGTTCGCGCCGTTGGGAAGTATTGTTCATGCTCGTTCTGGCGACAAGGCCGACAACTCGAACGTGGGCTTCTTCGTTCGCAACGAAGATGAGTATCCCTGGCTACGCACCATCTTGACCGTGAGTCGGCTGAAGCAGCTGTTGGGTGACGACTGGTACAAGAATAATCCAGACCGGATGGTCGAACGGGTCGAGTTTCCCGGCATCAATGCTGTGCATTTGTGAGTCAAGCTTTTTCATTTGGCTGTATTGATATTGACTAATCATGGATTAGCCGAATCCTGGACAACTTGAATGGAGGAATTGCATCTTCGGATAGGATAGATGGCTTGGGTAAGGGAATAGCGGAGTACCTACGCAGTCGATACGTTGAGGTGCCGCGAACATTCTTAGGACGGGGTAGAATTTGAGGTATGATGATAGCTTGTACGAATAATGGAAGAACATATTTGCCTTCAATGCCTCAAGAATCTAGAAGTAGCGACTCGGAGTTTCTCCCATTCCAAACAGCCAATCTTGGGAAAGTTGAGCAATAGCATCGCTGTGATACTGGTCATAGCAGATATTCTGCAGATCCCCGAAGCAATCTCGCAGAGTCTCGTCGACAGTCATGTTGACAAAGTTCTGGCTAGAGCCTTGACCATACACGGCATCATTGAGACTCATGTCCATAGCCTGGGATAGGTGTTCGGTCTCGCCTGTAGCTTGATTGTTATATGTCGACTCATTCGATGATGAGCCGTGTCCAGTTTGGGCTTCGACAATATCAGAGACAACGGCGTCACTGAGACGGTCGAATACTTCTGAGCAGTTGCGTGCCATGGCCCATCTCTCGGACACCGCCACCAGCACCTTTGAGCAGGCTCGTGTGTCGTTGACCACCTGGCTGATCGTGGGAGTTGTTCGCAGTGTAGCTCTGGGCGCGTTGGCATTCGCGGGATTCCGGCTTTGTATATGCTGGAGATGGTTTCTCAATGCATAGATGTAGGAGAGTCCTGCGATGAAGATGGAGTGAAGCGTCACCCAAGAATAGTTGATCTTTCTGGAGCGATGTAGGTTGGCGTACAGCTTGATAGCCTCTTGCGAAGAATCAAACATGTGCTGTAGCACAATACTATTTCCAGTCGCATCGCATAAGGTGGGAGATGGCCGGAACAGCATCAAGATTCCGTTGTGGTAGAGGAGATTGTACCATTCCGCCGAGCGGAAACTAGACCTACTGGCAGGCGAGGTAAGCGGCGCATCTGGAGGAATCAGCGGTAGGCTGCTCGTTCCCTCGCGCCATGATTGGAGCTCTTCGACGAGGGCGCTTCGACTATCTTCGTAGGTGACCGGGTCTCGAGCTGTGTTCGCACTGCGGTGGAGGACGTTAAGGATCTTGCCGCAAATTAATCGGTACCTGACGATGTGGACGAAGATTGCAGTTCCCAGATGCCACTCTGGAGTCTTAAAAGAGGCCGTCGACAAAGATCTGGAGAGCGGGACGGGGCTGCCGGGCAATTCGAAGGGCGGGAGTTCGACGTCAATATCCTCGAGCTGGATGGCCAAGGGTCGGCCTAAGATGAGACTAGCGATCCGATCCATCGATACCACACTCCAAAAACACCGTCTCTTGATCTCAACGTCTTCGTGCTTCCCCTCCGCACCCCCCTCACCATCTACTAGTGACTGAGAGACGGTACACGTTGATGCCTTGTGCAAGCCAAGCTCGAAGCATGTCCTCGCCGCAACTCCAATCAAGTGCCAGACGCTGGTGCTCGTGTCGTGCGAGGTCGTCCCCATCCTATATTGACAGATCAGAAGCAGGGCCTGAAGAGCAGTGATACCTCCGCGAGAGAGCACATCGCCCAATCGCGTCATGGCACGCGTGTAATGGACCTCGGAATCCCAGAACCCGTTCCAGTTCAGCTTGTAGACTTGCGCTGTCCCAATGGCAAGAGTCATGTCAACAAGAAAGCTGTCGATCGGATCCGCCCTCTCCGAGTTTCTCACATCGTAAACGGCATCTAATGCCCGGTCCAGTGCCTTCGGTGAGAGGAACGGGTAGCAGAGCCGGTCGTGACTGGAGTATGCATCGAGTATCTCCACCGTCATGCTCCTTGGTGGCAGACTCGAAGCTCCGCTGGGAGCAAGGCTCCCCGTTCGCCCATGATGACGTGACGTTGAACTTGAGTGATGGCCAACGGTATGGCTGGGTGTCCCGGAAAACTGGCTATGGGACTGTAGCAGATTGGCGAGGAACAACCCGCTCGTTGAGCCGACAAAGTCTCGACCCCCACCAGCGCTGAGTGATAGGTGAATGACCTGGCTGGCAATCTCGCCGCTCCCAGAAGCTGGTGCTTCAGCCTCGTCAGTCTGCAGCCCCAGACTTAACGTCGTAGTTGGAGTCGCAAGTCTCTCATCCGCGGTATCTGGTTGATGTTGCTGCTGCTGCTGCTGCTGCTGCTGATGAGCGTCAGCCAGTCTCCCGGTCAGATTGTCATTCTCTGCCTGCAGGTCTCGTATATGCTGCTCAAGCCTCTCGACATCCTGCCGGCGAAGTTGTATCTGGTGCTCTCTCGCGGCATAGGTACACTGGACGTTGATCCGGGAGCAAGGGGCGCATGACGGCCGAGTGCGGTCGCATTTGACCTTGCGGCGGTGACAGCGCTGGCATGCGCCGGTCCGACTGACTGAGGCGGAGCGCATTGAGTTCGATATCTGGTAAGTGGTTTTAAGGAATGGCTGACATCTCAAGAGTCAGCTTCAAGCAGGTTTCCCATGGTAACAGAGTTCAAAGGTGAATGTGAATAAAGGATGCCAAGAACGTCGGATCCAGCGAGGTGGGACATCTGGGGTAACTAAGGTAGAACGTCTCCGCTCTCCGGGGCTCCTCAACCAACCACCCACCCCGCGCCTCGGCTTTCTACGCCGGTGGATCCCTGAGTTCACCCGCTGGTTATTGATAGCTTCAATCACGGTGGGAAACACGTCTGCAGTGATCGTTGTTCTTACTCACACAAAAGCGGACACTGTCGTTCAATGTAAACTCGTTGTCTATGAAGCATGTAATACTATGAATGCGCGCCAAGAAACCCCATCCTCTGCACCAACACCGAACACAACACCTTGATACACCAATCACCATATGCTAGATAGTGTACACTAGTCCTTCATACTAGTCCTTCATACCGTTGACAAGACATGACCGCTCACACCTAGATGAAAAGCTTGCTACCATGGTACTTGGTCTTCTTCGAGTAAGTAGAGGCGGCGGCCGCCTTGGTACGCTCGGGGAAGCCCTTGAAGGACACGGCGTAGGTGGCAACAGAGTGAGAAACCAACTATATCGCCACGTCAGGAATATGCATAGTAGTCAAGATATTGTGAAACTCACCTTGGTGTTGATCTCCCAAGCAGTCAAGTTGACATTGCCAACATCGTCGCACAACTGGTGGTAGCACGGGTCGTACCAGTCGCCGGCCTTGCCACCAAACAGCTTGGCCTCCTCCTTGGTCTTGATGCCCTCAGCACCGGTAGCGATACCACCACCGGGAATGCCATTGCGGATGAAAGCGTCGTAGTCACTGCGACCATCGAACGGAATGAAGGTGTAAGCAAGGCCATGAGCCTTGTACCAGTCCACGTAGAGGTCACGCAGCTCCTCGGAGCCGGTGGGGTTGACCGCGTTCGTGGCGTTGTAGACCTGGTACGCGTAGTTGGGGCTACCAAGCATGTCATAGTCCATGAAGAGACGGATCTTCTGGTTCTCCTCCTCGGGCAAGACGTCAACGTAGTAGTCAGAGCCGAGAAGACCCTCCTCCTCACCTGCCCACCAAGCGAAGCGAACGCAGTTGTTGACGCTGAACTTGGTCAGCTGAGTGGCGATCTCCAGAAGACTCAAGCTGCCGGAGCCGTCGTCGTTGATGCCAGGACCCTCAGCAACACTGTCACTGTGTCCACCGAGCATAACGCAGTTGTCCTGGTCACCCTCGATAGTCTGGGCAAGGATGTTGGTGGTCTCGATCGTGTTGACAACGGCATCGATGTAGGCAATAGCGTCGACGGATTCGCCCTTGCCCAGCTTCTCGAGAATAGGCTTGGCATCGTCGCCACCCAGACCAAAGGTGGCAATGTGGTCGGGAGAAGGCGTTCCCAATGTGCCGTGCACAGTCTCGGTCTCGTAGTTGTACACGACGGCTGCGATGGCACCAGCCTTGCCGGCCTGCTCGCTCTTGGCTCCAAAAGCACAGGTGCCGCGGCGGATGAAGGCGATGTTGCCCTTCACCTTGGAGGGGTAGTCAGAAGCATCGCATCCGTTGTTCTCGACGAAAATGAGGTCGCCATATACGGGCTCCTTATCCTTCGTGGGCGGGGTCAGGGCCATGGGAGAGGCTGACTTGGGCACATCGTTTCCGATGACGAGGCGCGACTCGAAGACATTGCCCGAGACGGCAGGGAACGTCTGGTTCCAGATCTTGTAGTAATCGCCCAGCTTCGCAAGCTCGAAGTAGATGTACTCCAAAGTTCCGAGATGACCTATACGATCAGTAAGCACGAAAGATGGTGAGTTGCTGGGGGAACGGTCGTACCATCGCTGCCAATGACGCGCGTGGGGTGGTTGTACTCCTCCTCTCCCAACTTGGCGATATCGTAGAGGTCCTTTGCGCGCGCAAGCAGGTTGTCGGCGCTGATGGTATCCTGGAGAGCCTCGGTCTCGACCAAGGGCTTCTTGGAAGACGACGAGGACGCGGTGGACGGGGATGTTGCGACGACAGGCGCCTCGTCGGCAATCATCGGCGCTTGTTGTTCAGGTACCTGCATCTGCATCTGCAGGGCGGACACACCACCAAGCAGGGCCAAACCGGCCAATTGTAGTCGACGAGCTCCAGCCATGATGTTCGATACCTCTGTTCGTAACTTGAGTTGCAAAGGTGAGGTTGAGACGAGGTTGGGAAGCTGTGTGTCACAGACCTGGGGGGGTCAGAGCTGGGTCTCAGTCGGGGGACCTGGGAGCTGTTGCGATAGACGACCGATATCGCGAATCGGTTAGTCACGTTGCCGAGGCCCACCATTCGTCATAGCTCTTATCTTATCGGAAGCCAGCTGACATAATCTAGCTGAGCGATAAGACATCAGCGCCCAGCTTACACAGGGGGTGTCTTTTGATCCTGAAAACGGCCCTGGTTTAGGTAGCTTAGGTCCCCCTCGGCTCACTGGGCTAGTACGTTGTTATTAGCGCAGATTACAGCTGTCAAGGTAGCCCCAATACTCCGTCACCCCTGCTGTACAGCAAATCCAAGGGGTCAAACGGCCCCCGTGTGCGCATGTTTTCATAGGGGGAGACACGGGGTTGAAGATCAGGACACAGTGGACCGGGGGAAGCTCCTTGCAATTCAGGAGCTCCGCCCCCCTCCAAGCACCCCCAAAGGGCAAAGGGCCCGCCTATCCTGTCTCTCGGTGCTGCTCACCACCGGGCACTTTTACACTTCTTTCGGGTCCCGCGTCTCCCAGGGCGCACCTCAGACTTGGGACGAAGACGAAGCACGATCCGTCTCCCTTCTCTGTCCCTGTTTTTAGGTTCTGTCTTCTTGAACCATCCCGACTGCATCTTTTCCCCGGTGCAGAGCCGCCATGGTATTGTGCCAGACATCATCAACGTCCGCTGTCCAGAATGGGTGATACAGGAGCTACGGGAATTTGGCCAAGAGGTATGTAACTATCCCAAGATGTCCGGCGGCGAGGGTGAGGTTCCCTCGTGTGAAGCTGAATATGTCGATGTGGCCTTTTTCGCTGACTCTCGTCCCGTTCCGAAGATGCCGCTTCCTGGGCCTCGATACCGACTGAATTCCTCCTCGCGGAACTATCCAAGCGACATGGACCTCCGGTCACGAATGCCGAAGCTGCTGCGGCAGAGGCGACGAAGCCACAATGCGGTTCATCAAGAAAGGAGTCCTACGATACCGCGCTGCACATTGGCGCGCTGATCTTGATATTGGCGCTGAGTACAATCTGTAAGCGACACCTTTCTAGTTTCTACTGCACGACGATACCTAGCGAGGCCATGATATCCTACGATGGAACTTGGAAGGAGCTTCTACCCAAGTTCTTAGTACAACATCATGTTGAGAAGCCCAAGCTAATGATGATAGCATGCGGAATCCCGTTACTCCCCAGGAGAACCTCCAAAGGCCGACCGCAGAGCATAATCCTATTCTACTGCCAGCACTTCGGCACCGGCGTCCTCCTCGCAACGTCCTTCGTCCACCTTCTCCCAACCGCCTTCACCTCACTCACCGACCCATGCCTCCCATTCGTCTTCAATAAGGGTTACCCCCAGATGGCAGGCTTGATCGCCATGGTAGCAGCACTCTCCGTCGTCGCCCTCGAGTCCTACCTAGCCACCCGCGGAGCCGGTCACTCCCACTCCCATTCACACGAGTACGAGTACTGGGATGACGAAGAGGGCAGCGGGCATTCCCCAGCAAACGCGCATGCCGCAGGAAGCTTGGCGTCGCACAGACACGGCTCTCACCGGCCGGAAGACATCAACCTCGACAACATGGATTCGACTCAGGGGTTAATGGCCGGCGCATCGCCATTGCCGAGCTCGACGCCGACGCGTGCGAAAGCGAACGATAGCCTCGCCAACGGTCGAGACAGCTTCGACGACGACGATGAATCGGACATTGACCTCGACGTCAATGAGCTGGACCCAACCCCCGCCGACGAGCCCAGACGCCGAAGCTCACCTGGCATCCGCCCAAAGATTACAGTTACTCCCGGCGCACCCCAGATCGTTACGGAAGAGGAGCAGAGTAAGCTCCTCCGCCAGTGTCTACTACTAGAAGGAGGCATTCTCTTCCACAGCGTCTTCATCGGCATGGCCATCTCGGTCGCAACAGGTCCGACCTTTATCGTCTTCCTCATCGCCATCAGCTTCCACCAGACATTCGAGGGCCTCGCTCTCGGCAGCCGAATCGCTGCCATCCAACTGCCCCGTTCCTCGGCGCGGCCATGGCTCATGGTTCTTGCGTTCGGAGGCACGACGCCACTCGGTCAGCTCATTGGTCTCATCGTGCATAACTTGTACGATCCCATGAGCCAGACTGGGCTGTTGATGGTTGGATTCATGAACGCCATCTCGGCTGGGCTGCTCCTCTTTGCTGGACTGGTTCAGCTACTAGCCGAAGACTTTCTCTCAGAGAAGAGCTACAAGATTCTGCAGGGACGTAAACGGCTGAATGCCTATATGGCTGTGATTGGCGGAGCATCACTCATGGCCATTGTTGGAGCGTTTGCCTAGAACAGATGGGCGTACTACAGCGAGATATCATTACACCAATACTGCTAATACACTGTTTTTGACCAAATCAATAAGCCAAGGAAGGTTACGAAACTTGCCGGTGACTTATATGTAGGTGGGGCTGTATACAGCATTACACATACCCAAAAGCAAGAAAGAGCACACAAAGATTATCCTCCAAGACGAACAAAAGCAAAAGATTAACCCGAAGAGTGGCTTTGCCAATCGCGGTGAGGATTTGAGCCTCACGCGGGGGTCGAACCCGCAACCTTGAGATTAAGAGTCTCACGCTCTACCGATTGAGCTAGCAAGGCGGGTTATTGAAAGCTGATCCGGAGGACCTGCTGGTTTGTTGGAAGCGGAGGGCGGTTGAGTCATAGAAGTAGGGTCGAAAGCCGCGATGTGAAGAGATTTTCCCAATTTTTCTTGCGGTAAAGTGGGGCGGGGACCGGTGCTCCGGTTTTATGTGTGGTCCGTGGGCCGGGAATGGTTCCGTACATGACTCCCCTCTGTGTACATCGATTACATTGATGTCAAAGACATGTGCTGGCACGACAGCTGGTATACTTCTCTCGTCTTGTTTCTTGACTAGGGTGTTTCCCGAATGTGACATGGTAGTAGCTCTAGAACCGATGGGCTGGGATCATTAGTCTTACACGCCATTTCTATGGCCACTGATTGTCGCCCATGACAATGGCAACTGTGAGCCTTTTTGGAACACCGGCAGTGTTGTTTAATATCTGAAAGGTCAAGACTATGGGGCAATCGATTGAGGAAGCAAGAGCTGACAACTCACTCCATGTACCTAGGTAAGCCATCGCAAGTTGATTCATACCAAAGAGTTCTGTATTTGTATTGAGTTATACATATGAAAATTATTTCTCAACGTCTCAGTGACGGAGGTCGTTTATTGATACCACTATAGAAGTTGAGTCTTTGTTGAATGAGTAATATTTGATTTACCGAAACCATTACCAGCAGGACTGTGTAGGTCGAAACTTAATTATCTGTCAAAACGAGCCACAACTGAACCAACCACCTTGACGTAAAAGATCTGGCTGATTCCTACAACTGTCAAAGGCCTTAATGGTAACGATATGCCGAAAAGTGTGAGTTCGATGATGCCGGGAAGTCTCAAATGAGTCATTGGAAAATCTTTAATAGGGGAAGGGTGATATCAACTGTTCTCAAAAGCTTTGTAAGTTAAGCCCGATAATAAATCACTATGAAATTAGAGACCTCTTGCAACACAACACAGACAATAGTGCTGAAAGAGTAATTTGTAGGCTTTGTAATTCAAAACCTAGATCCTATTGCAATTTGGAGATTAAACGACGAAGCTCATATTAGGAGGATTGCGCTGTCAATGACTATCTCTACCAGTTTACGATGAATTTTCAGTGAGAACGCAGCCGCCCATTACATGGAAGTAGAATCGATAAATGCTGCAGCCATCACATAATTAAATGAGAGATGAAGAAGTTACTCATAAACCACTTTGAGTTCTGGGCTTGCTGTGCCACAAGATCATCCGAGGCACAGGCTGACATGTCGTCTCAACCTTGAGGACTCTTAGCAGTGACTCACTCGGAGAACTGTTCAAGTAGAAAAAGACGCCATGGGATCGCACAGCTTTTGGACACGACCGGAATATTCATTCCTGTTTTATCTGAAGAAACTATCAGTTCAAGTGCACGAACTTGGACTTTCTTTAACGAGCTATACATCAAGGTTGACGAAGAGAGTCTTATTCACCGAGACGTCGAGGATACTCCACCACACATCCCGGGTACGTACCGTTTCTCAGCAGGCCATCCCAGCGCAATTGCAGCGCACCCGCAGTTCATCCGGCACCAATGCAAGGCTGATTTGATGTGCCGCCAGGTGCGCAGGTTCCTTACGGTTTCTCTCTGAGAGGCGGGGCAGTTTACTTTTTTTTCTTTTTTTTTTTTTCTTTCTTGCTTGGGCTGCCCGCAGTGCCGATCAACCTCTGATGCAGCTCCAAAAACCAATCCCACCATCTATCGTCGCCGACCCAAGTCAACCGCACCCACCTCACCGTGGGCGAAGCGCCTCTCTAGGCGTCTGCTCCGACCCGACGAATCTTCTCTTTCCTATCGACACCCCCGACGCAACATTTGCTGATGCGATTCAATTGACGACCTCGGCCCTCGATCTTTACCTTGCAGCCAAAGCTCAATCCTTCAATTCAGCACCTCACAGAACTTTGCCGGCGCAAAGCGACGACCTCTCGATCGCGCGAAACCCGACTACGACCCCGGACGACTAAAAAAATCCCCCAGGCACAAACTCCCCCACCACCACCATCGATCGATCTCTCATCACCAACAATTCCCCCGCCACATCCACGATACAACTGGGCGCGAACCGGTTTCTTAGACCCTTCAATTCTTGTCGCGCGACCGCACCCTCCTACAAACAAACGCAACACCAAAGCGAGACAGGTCGCCGCCGCAGACAGCCGCAATGGCTCCCGCACCCCCAGCGGCGGACTCGCCCTCGGCGGCAACGACCTCGAGCACCGACTCCAAGCTAGAGGTGTGGAAGGACATGCTGTACGAGAAGTTCCAAAAGGCCGGCGACGAGAATGAGCTCTTTACCCAATACGACCTCCTCGACTTTGACGTGATCCCGAACCGCGACACCGTCACCCTCTTGAAATGCCTCCAGAGCCTCACAAACGACCGCCTCCTCATTGCCGTCTCCTCCCAGACCGGCCTCGCCTGGCGATGGCGCTCCGTCGAAGATGCGGAAAAGTGAGTCTTACTCTCCATGCCCAGGAAGCATCACCGTCCATGCTAACGAACCCCACTTCCAGATACAAGCTCTGCACGACAGACGAACAGCGCATGGTCTACGGCGCAATCGACGAAGCAGGCGGCGACGGAATCTGGTCAAAGTCGATCCAGAACCGCCTCAACATGCACGACTCGGTCCTCAAGACGGCCCTCAAACAGCTCCAGGGAAAGGGCCTCATCGCCCCCTTCAAGAACGTGGAGCACCCCAACAAGCGCATGTTCATCAAGGCCTCCATGCGGCCCTCGGAACGCGCCACGGGCGGGCCCTGGTTCACCGACTCGACGTTCGACGAGGCCTTCATTGAGGAGATCCAGCGTGTCATCTTTGACTACGTCAAGCGTAAGAGCACCTACCACAGCACCGGCTCTTCCTCTTCCTCGTCTGCCGCTACCCGCACCGCCGTGCCCAAGAAGGGCGTTCTCAAGGGTGGTCTGCCGGATACCAAGGGCAAGAAGCGCAGCGCGGGAGAAATCTCAGGCGCCAGCGAAGCAGAGACGAAACCCGCTCCGGCCGTTCAACCCCCCAAGCGAGAACCAACTTGCCTGCCCCTCCCCGCCGGCTTCAAAGAATACCCCACCGTGCGCGAGATCGCGCGCTTCATCTCCCAGTCAGGCATTACGAGCGACACGATCCTCGGCGAGGAAGACATGCAGAAGCTCATTGACGTGCTCGTATTCGACGGCCTCATCGAGTCGATCCGCGTCTCGGGCCGCGTGGGCTACAGAGTCTGCCGCGCCCCGCGACAAAGCAACACGGCCTGGGCGGGCCGCCAGGACGACGAGGGCGGACCGGAGCCGTTTGTCAACGGGTACACGGAGGCTCCTTGCGGACGGTGTCCCGTGTTTGAGCTCTGTGAGGAGGGCGGTCCCGTGAGCGCGAGCAATTGCGTTTACTTTCAGCGGTGGTTGGGCCTGGAATGACAAAGGTTCTGTCTAGGAGTCACAAAACTACGGGTTTTTGTTTCGGGTTGGGTCTGATTGAATCATTCACATTACGGAAAGCATTGCATTGGCGTTGGCACGAATTATTAAAAAGAAAGGACATGGGCGGGACGGTTTGCCAGGGCCCAAGGGTAGAGAGAGAGAGTTTCCATCCTTCCCAATGGGAGATTAGCTTCAATGGCGACCAGCCATTGGCTGTAATTATACCAATGACATGTTTGACCCCACCACGTTCCATGTGTTGAATGCATTCAAGGTCCATCAATAGGGTCCTCTGTGATTCTTCCTCTTTGATGTTGCTCTGTGCACAACATACTTGTCACACTATCCTCTGATACTCGGTAGTCATCAAACGTAACATGGATCAAAGGAAAATGGTCACACGGCGCTAGCACAGAGAAGGTGGCAGTAACTTTTTGTCTTGGCAGACTATATAGCAGCAGTAAAGCTGATTGCCGCCAAGCTGCGTGATGGCGCAATACCCAAGTCTCTACCAAATCGTCCTCCCTTTCGCGTCAAGGTGTCTCTCGCGACATTTCAGAAGCAGGACCTAACGTACAAAGAACCGAGCGAGAAGCACTTTACAACGCACCAGAGGCGACGATGGTGGGGCGCTTGCCGTACTTGACGGCACCGCTGGAGGAGCCGGTAGCCTCAAGAGCCTTGACGATGTTGAGGCCGGACTGGTCAGCAACCTCGCCGAAGACGACGTGGCGGCCGTTGAGCCACGAGGTGACAACGGTGGTGACGAAGAACTGGGAGCCGTTGCTGAAGGGAGGGTTAGCTGCTGTGTATGGAAAACGTGACGGCCAAAGAGGAGAGCTTACGTGTTGGGGCCGGCGTTGGCCATGGAAAGCAGACCGGGCTTGTCGTGCTTCAACTGGAAGTTCTCGTCGGCGAACTTCTCGCCGTAGATGGACTTGCCACCGGTGCCGTTGCCACGAGTGAAGTCACCACCCTGAAGCATGAAGTCGGGGATGATGCGGTGGAAGGAAGAGCCCTGGTAGCCGAAGCCCTTCTCGCCGGTGCAGAGAGCGCGGAAGTTGGCGGCGGTCTTGGGGACAACGTCATCGAAGAGGTTGAAGACGATGCGGCCGTTCTGCTCTGTACGAGGAAAAGCTTGGTCAGCGAAGCTCTGGATGCGGTGAAGATGGCGGGGGGTCGGTAGAAAGACAGTTTGGTCTGCCCAAGCTGGGCGAACAACAAAGTTCACGTCTTTTGGAGTTGAGGTGGGGTGAT